TTTCAGTGCTACGATTCTCCATTGGTGTCATATTGGTGCATTGCTGCTTTCTGAACACTGTGATATGATCTGGCTTTCAATGTGATTGTGCAATCTGAATATTGTCATCTCGCTATTGCTCATTTTCCTTGCAAATACGCTAATATGATATTAACGAGTAGTTTATGTACTCTTTTATTTTTGGGTGGTAACTTGGTGTCTCCTACAACTGTCTCTTATACACATCTAGATGTGTATAAGAGACAGGCACGGCACAGAGGGCCCATGCAGGCAATCTGGAGGGTCCTCACACCAATAAAGTGCAGACCCTCCACCAAAATCGAGGCAGGCAGTGAGTATGAAGTAGAGCACGAGCTGGCCGAATATATACTCAAGATTCAAATTTAGGTCTGTGTTTCAGCAGTGACGGGTTGCTCACATAGCTAGGCCTGCGAGTGATTCTCAGGGCTTGGCTGCACTACTCACGGAATGTGCAAAAATATAATGAATCTTCTGTAGAACGTGGAATAATACACCGCCATATAATTTGCCTTTTGTGCATGTGGTGAGTAGAGGCCCTTAGGGCCACTGCACGTATTAAGAAAAGAAAACGAGAAAAAAAAGAAATAGTGCCCAATAACCGAGATGCACAGACCTGAATTCGAATCCAAACTATATATTCTCTGCTCACGCTGGCAAGTAGAAGTTTGAAGTTCACCTCTGCTGCACTTGGGGTCCTAGCTAATTCGCTGTAAGGGCCCTTCAGGAAAGAGGCTGGACACAACTAGGACAATACTCGCATACCTATACATGTGCCCACAGTTTTGGGTTATGGCGTGGCCCTGACTTTTCTCACTCTTGCTTTCTGATTTTTAGAAGTGAGGGGAGTGTTTGGCCACCCCACCCTGAACTTTGTTTGTCATCTAGATGTGTATAAGAGACAGCCCTATCTTCAACGTAGAATACCTAAAAGAGTATCATGAATCCCCACCCCAATTCGTTGACCACCCTTACCCCAGACCTCCACCAATCATGTTACCCACAAGCCTTGAATTCGTCGTTGAAGCCATCATAGGACGAAGAACTACTCAAGTATCAAACCATCCGGAACCAATCAC